CTTATTCACTTTGTCCACACCAGTCATGATTTTATTGATTTCTATCACGTCCCCCTTAGTCCTCTCTTTGCTGAGCTGAACAGTTCCAGTCTTTTTAATCTTCCCCTGGCATGGAAGCTGTCCCAGACCCCCTAATCTTTGTTTGCCACCCTTCTTTATACTGTTCAAATTCTAATCAATCTTTCTCAGATGAGGCAATGGGAACGGCACACTTTATTCAAGGTTGGACTCACAATGGATGCCTGTGTCCTGGGGCTGCTCATCTATTTTCTACCCTGCCTGGCTTCTGCTTTCTAGGCATGAATGTCAACATTCCCTTTCTCCCACCCCCCTCGAAATAGCTGCCTTGACTCCCCCCAACCCAGGCTGACTTCTTACCCAATTCCGCCTTCTCCCTTGTAAATGGGCTTGAGGCTTTCTTGGGATTCTGTGATTCACTGATATTTGCTTCTTCATTTTCCATTCGCCCAAGCTGGTAGGGCCTTGGTTGAGTGACAGGCAGCCGCCTCCAGAGCTACCCTGCTCCCTGCCCTGCTCCTCAGCACCCAACCTGGCTCCAGGCGCTGCTAAGAATGCAAAGGGACAGGGCAGAATTTGGGTTCTAAACCTACTTTACAACTAAAACAAACCCTCATCTTCCTGCTCTGACTGTGAGGTCTGCAGCATGGGGCTGCTTTCACCAGGGCCTGCTCCGTTGCTGCCTGGGTGACTGGCCAGGGCTGGGGGCTGTGTGTGCAGTGCCTTCGAGGCTTCCTGTGTAAGACCCCAGCAGGAAAAGCAGGTTCCGCACAAGGCCCTCGAGCCAGATGGAGTCAGAGAAAAGGCCCGTTTAGCTCTGTATTCTCTTTTCCGACAGTGGCTGGTGCCAGATGCGTCAGAGGGAATGTACAGAACCGGGAAATTGTAAGTGATCTACCCTGTTCTCCATTCCCAGCTTCTGGCAGTCAGAGGTTAGGGACACTCAGAGCTTGGAGTTGCATCCCAGGCAATCTTGGCTAATAGCCATGATTTTCCTTTTTGAACTCCGTTAAAGGTTTGGCCTTCACACTATCCCCTGGCAAGGAGTTCCACAGGTTGCCTGTGCCTTGTTTGAAGTACTTCCTTATTTTGTTCTAAGCCTGCTGCCTATTCATATCGTTGGGTGAATAATAATTCCTTATTCACTTTGTCCACACCAGTCATGATTTTATTGATTTCTATCACGTCCCCCTTAGTCCTCTCTTTGCTGAGCTGAACAGTTCCAGTCTTTTTAATCTTCCCCTGGCATGGAAGCTGTCCCAGACCCCCTAATCTTTGTTTGCCACCCTTCTTTATACTGTTCAAATTCTAATCAATCTTTCTCAGATGAGGCAATGGGAACGGCACACTTTATTCAAGGTTGGACTCACAATGGATGCCTGTGTCCTGGGGCTGCTCATCTATTTTCTACCCTGCCTGGCTTCTGCTTTCTAGGCATGAATGTCAACATTCCCTTTCTCCCACCCCCCTCGAAATAGCTGCCTTGACTCCCCCCAACCCAGGCTGACTTCTTACCCAATTCCGCCTTCTCCCTTGTAAATGGGCTTGAGGCTTTCTTGTGAGCTGGTAACGTTCCCATGATCATTCTTGCTTTTCTGAGTAAATCCTTCCTCCCAGCTGATTTGGCTCCTCATCCGTTCCAGCCTTTTAAAGCACCAACTGCGTAGATCACGGGGCTGGGCTTCCTGCTGTCTGCAGGCTAACCATGGCCAAGGGGAAAAGGAGGTGAGATCCTGCCCTTCTGAGCCCCTGGGCCCTTCCAGGTTGCTCAGCTCTGCCTTGGGCAGGGAGAAGTTCCTCCAGTCCCGGACTCAGGCATGGGCAGGTCTCATGGCCGCTGGATACTGGAGGATGGGGGACAGGGCTTGGTTTGCCTGCACAGCCAGGTCTGTACCTCCCCCCACAGGCCCAGCAGAGGCCCCTGGATGGTTCACACCGTCCAGCCAGGAGCACGTTGGCCTTTTTTCACCGCCTCCGAGGGCTCCAATTCAACCGGCAGCTTTTTCCCTCCTGAGAGGTCTGCGAGAGCTCACTGAGCTCCAGTGTTCTGCCAGGACCTCCTCCTGCTACACAACCTGTCTTTGCAGGCACAGGCAGGAGAGTCCCCCTCGGTGTGCCAGAGGCTGGTCCTGGCAGGAACCACCAGGGCTCCTGGACGCGACCGAGGGACTGGGTAGATCCCCAAGTGCTCAGTTGCTGCATGGGGCTCTCCGCCCTTCAGAGCCCCTACACATGCCTCAGAAGGTGCATGTCCCTCTCTCGTTTTTCTACAGTGGGCCCCATGGGAGGGGACGTCCTGCTCCCCCTCACTGCAAGCTCTCCAGCCTTTTTCTTGGGCCCCTGTTCCGCGAGTCCTCTGCCCTTCCTCCCCTTTGCAAACCCAGCCGGCTGTGAGACCTGCGCCCAGGGACCAAGTGTGCACACGCTCCATTTCCTGACCCTCCAGTCCTGGCCCAGCCCCAAGTGGCGGGATTGCTACTCCCTGTGGAGGGTGAGGACCCCCAATGGGCCAGTCTCTAGTCCTCCCTGATTCCACGGTTGGCCAGGGATGTCAGTGGGCAGCTTCTTCACAGAGCCACGAGCACAGGCGTGGACCGGGCACGGTTCAGCCCCATCCCTGAGGCCGGTCCCCTTAGAGGCGTGAGGTAGAAGCTGGCGCCCGCCTACCTCTGGTGCATCAGGTTGCAGCCCCTAATCTGTCTCCTCCTGCTGAGGCTCTGGCTGCACCTTTCCCTGCCCCTCTTTACTTCTGCGCCCTCTACGTGTGGCCCCACAAAGCCACAGGGCCTCCTTGCCAAGGCCACCAGCAGCAGCAGCAGGAGGAGGATGCTGCGCAAGGAGGTGCTCAGGGACGGTGGGTCCTGTTTCCACTCCTCCCTAATTTCATGTATCCGGGCGGAGTTTCCCAGGGCAGTGTCCACTGGCTGCCCAGACGACTTCGAGGATCAGTGGGCGTGGCTGGGGTTCCCCCTTCTGGATCCCTCGCTTTGAACCTCTACCCAGCTGCCCTGAACCTGCTTGTCATTAATTGGTCTCTATATTTATTTGGAACATGGGTCCAATGGCCCTGCCCACAGTGCTGGGGGTGGGGCCTATAGAAGAGGGCAGGTGCCCAGGATTTTCCAATAAGGCCCCTGGATACAGGCAGGTGCCACCTGTCCAGGTTTTTTCAGGCTTGTCCCTTTTTGAAGGGGCTAGTTAGATGCACGGTGCAGCCCTTGGGGGGAGGCTCTGTACCCTCTGACCTGCTGTCCCATGGCTTTGGGGGGAGCCTTGCTGTGCGCTGCCCTGTACGTGGGGGCTCAGTACCCACTGCCCCACAGGTGTGGGGGGACTCTGTACCTACTGCCAGGGGGAGGCCCGGGGGGCTGCCCCATTTGTGGGGGGCTTGGTAGCAGGGATGTTAACATTTCTGTTTTTAAACAATAAGCCTGGGGTTACTGGTTAATCTTGTCAACTATATGCACTTACCCCACATGCTGCTGCCTCTGTATCAGTGAGAGGATGAGGGGAGCAGGCTGGAGACCATACGTATGGGAAGCCGACTTTAAAGCAGGCTCCCTGCATGTGCCAGCTTCACAGACATCTGTCCACCCCCCACTCTCGCTGCCTCTTACGTAGGCAGTGGGCAGGGCAGTTAAAAACCATTTCCCTCAAGCACCAGCTTCACGGTGCTATCTGCTCCCTCTGCTGTTGCCTCTATCAGAGGCAAGAGCACGGGGGGAGGGAGGGAAGGTGTGGAGGAGAAGGGAGACAGGGGAGGCTCCCATGAAGCAGCTTCTGTCCATGGAGGGTCCAAGATCCCCACAGACAGAGGCTGTTCCTCATCCCATGGAGCATCCTCTGTCTGTGGTGAGCCTGGGCCCGCCATGGGC